CCCCTGTGCCAGAAAGGCAACGTGGGGAAGGAAAGTGAATAATGTTATCTTTGATCTGTGGTGCTGTGTATCAGTAGATGAAGGTGGCATTTTAATAGCAAAAAAAAAAAAAAAAAAAAAAAAAAAGGGCAGGAAGGAAGGAAAAGGAGAAAACCCTCATGGATCAGCCTTTATCAGCTATCAGCTTTCATGAAAAGAAGCTGTATGACCTCTCTGCATGAAACTGGGATACTCGGGCTGCTCATGAAGTTACTGTTTACCCTTACAAATGCTGGGAAGCCATGGAGATAAGCACAAAACTCAAAATCTGCAGGTGAAGGAGGTGCAGTTTCAAGGAAAGGATAGTGGATCAGAGGTGAGATTCTTGTAGCCAGTGCCTGATTTTTGCACAGCTGCTTTATCAGATGATCAGTGAGATTTTCAAACCAAAGCCACATCCAGACACTTGACTGCAAAGTAATTTCATTCTTCCCAGATAGTTAACATGCTGAGTGCAAATGTAATAAAGGACTGAAGTTCAAAGCTCCACACTCCCTTGGAGCATTCGTGTAGCTGTAGTTTGCACTGATACCAATCATTCTTGGGTTGGGATCACACCATCAGCATCCCCATTTCCTCTTGTCTTTGCACAGAATGGTCAAGATTCCGGTTTGAGCCCAGAGAAGCCCTTGATACTTCAGTTTTTTATCTCCACCACTGCTGCAACATTTTGTCTCCTTTTCTCACACTGGTACACATACTTTTTTCCTTTTCCAGACAGGATTCTGTTACTATTTTTTTGCACTTCAAACATTCAACAGATTTTTTTTTTTACCCACCATCTTTAATTTCATTTTTCCTTTCCTGCACTTCCTTATTTTTCAGGCCTTCCTTGCTAACTTTCAAGACCCTTGATCACTGCGTTCCAGACATCTAATACGAGTGTTTGTGTTTCATATTTCTGTGTCCGTGTCTTTCGCCTCGCTTCTCTACATGTTGGACTGAAGTATTCGGCCAGGCAGGGCCACTTGCACCGGCCCTTGAGTCCCCTTCTTCCAGTTAATGTTTACTGACCTCCTTGGACTCAGTCATCTCTCATTCTCTGCATTTGCCCTTTCTTTCCCATCTTTGGTGCTACCCTTTGCCATTGCACTGCAGTTCTGAGGGCAGCACATACATCAAAGCCGCTGTGTCTTTCCGTTTCAATAGGCTGGCAAGATAATGCACAGAGCATTGTCCGGGACAGCTTTTGTTCTGAAATGATAACAAGTGGCATTTGTGTTGTAGGCAGAGATCCTCAGGGAGCTGCCTGCTGCTTATTTGGTACCAACATTCTGGCTGGTTTCATTTTCTTTTATTAGGCCAGGTCTCTGTACCAAGAACTTTCTCATCTACTGGATTTTGTTCTTCAGTGCTGTCAGAAATGCCATGATGCTACTAGAGGCAGCTTCTTAGATATAAATATAGAAACGAGGACTGATGTTTGACCTTGTCAAAAGACTCAGTGTGGCAAAAAGAGGGTGGAGGGGAATGGTCACTAAGTAACAAAAAAAGAGGCTACCTAACTATGAGACTTGAGTATTCCAGCTGGAAAGCATCATCGTTTTCCCAAGGGAACCAAAAGGTGAGAAGTCTGGGGAGGTGAAGAGGGAGGAGACTTAATCAGGGCAAAGCTATTTGAGAGCTGCTGGCAAATATGAGCAGCTTTGCAAGCAGATCCTTGCATCCTCCTGAGCAAGCAGGGGGAGAGGCAGGTAAGCTGGTGCTTCTCTTAGCCCTACACTGAAAAATGTGGCAGCAACCTGAGGATGTTGAGTTCCTGTTGAAATGCTCAAAGCTGAAGGTGATTTATGTATTGCTGAGTGAGTTCCAGGACTACTGGGAATAGTGAAGTATGTGTGTGGGGGAGATGTTTTCAAAATGCAAGTAGTTGTATTTGCAGATGCATAGTTAAAATTATTATTGATCTGTTTTTCTGAGAACTAGTAATCTTCCCTTGGGCTGCTTTTTATCTCAGCACTCATCCCTTGCTCATCAGCCCTCTGGCTGCTCACCTCTTCCCTTCCCTGCCTTTTTTTCAAAAGACCCAAAGAGAAGTTGCATTTATTGCATATATTCTGTTCTCTCTGCACAGCCGCAGGGCATGTAAACAAATTAAATTCTGCACAAGACAAAGGAGTCCTTTATGGTGCATAACAGTAGTGTTTTGTTTTGCCTTTTTTTTTCTTCCTAATGACATAAAGCAATTAAATCACAAATCCTTCTCCTTACAAATGTCAGTTTTTGCCTCAAAGCCGCCTGAGTGTTTGTTTTAAGGAGAAGCACGTGCTTCGTGCAGTGCCGCAAGGCGGGGAATTGGCTGCTGTAAGGTAGCAAACAGGGAGCGGAGCAGCGGCCCCTTCCCCAGGGCACCTTCTTGCACCGCCCCTGCTCACCAGCAGTTTCAGTTTAGATCAAAAAAAATAATTTAATCTTTTGGCTCCCTGAGAAGACTTCTGAGTCACCAGTCACAAGAGCATCGTTTGAGAATCCTGCAGCAGCTAATTTAGTGGTAGGACTCAGCATGTAGAGGCTTGGCGCTTCCAGCATTATGGCTGTGTCGGGGAGCAGATTAAATATAACAATATTGTAAATCTGGGCTAGAATTTCTTTCCAGTGTGTTTGGAGCAGGAGATAGACCCCAATACAATAGATGAAAAGGAGCTTGCTGCTTATACCTCTTCTGCTTTACCCAGGTTGCTAACAGAACAGGAAAAAAAAATCTGTTGACATTTTTGAAAGTCAGAGCATTTTCTTCTTTTCTGTGTCTGCCTTTCAATAATATTTTAACAGGGGTAAACAGGATGTTTCCTGAATCTCAGAGGATGAACAGTGACATCCTTTGCAGAGTTTTTATTTTGCCTAACAGAGCTGCAGCTGCTTGCATCTCCTGTATAAATAATCTCCCTTAAGCTTTCTAAATTTCAGCCTTAGTACACTGATACACTCATGATCATCCAGTGCATCCCTGTGTGAGAACACAGGGGCACTCCGTAACTATCTGCATTCAGTTGATCGTAATGCATATTGATGATAGAAATGGGGAGATTGCTCAGTTTTTATTTCTCTGAAAAGGTACCTTTTTCTTATTCAGACAAAGAGGAAAAAATGTTAAACACCCTGAAAAACCCTGAAGGCTTTTTCTTTTCTTTTTCTTTTGGATAAAGAGGGAAATGTCATCTTGAAATTTATTAATTTTCTCTACAGAGAAGACTGCCAAAATTCATGAAGGAAGGAAAACAATGTGCCATAGGCAGCACTCGCTCCAAAGTTCACAGATCAGTTACTGGAGAGGAAATTAAAGCTGGGAGATACCGAGTCCCACAGAGCCAGGAATGGCCACCTCCCTTCGCTTTGTCCGCTCCAAAATTCCCTGATTTTGGGCTCAGGAGCCCAAAGCGTTAACAAGCCAGTCATATCCACGGCCACATGGAGACTGTAAGGCGCACACGGTGTTCCCAGCTGGACAAATGTTCCTGTGAGTACCATGTACAGAGCAGCAACTTCCAGAGATCTCCTCTGGGAAAATCTGCTCTGCCACAGGGCCTTGTTGTCAAGATGTGGGAAACACCTGTCTTATCCTTATTGTTGGATGGCAAAAAGGGCAGAAAAATTGTTTAAATCAGGTGTTGGGGAGCAGAGACTTGAGCGAAGGGCAGCTGTATTATCAATGTGGCACCCAAAAAGCCCTGG